AGCTTAAATGCTCATTCTTCCAGCCAGGTTTAAACGTTGCATTTTGTGCTTTCATTGTTTATATTTTTGCACTCTTGTATACGCCCATGCAGCCCTGTACTAACATAGTCGTGGGGATCTTAAGATCCACTAACAGAATTAAATTTTTCATGTGCAGATAGAATATCTGATTCACAAGAATATTTCCATAGAGTCTGGCACATTTGTCTACAAATAGCAGATAGATGAAAACTATGTTAAATGTTGTAATCAAATAACTAAATGTTCCTAGCCTGCGCTCTCCTTGATAAGTAATTACCAAACACTGTTCCATAATACTATTGAAGAGAGTCAATGAAAGAGAAAGTAATCTAGTTTGGGTTTTTGTTTTTGTTTTTCTTTTTTTTTTTCTTGGAGGGGGAGTATCTTTTTCAATAAATATTCAAATACCTAGTGATTTGATAACTAAGCTCACTCAGATTTGCTTTGCTAAATTAAGTATATTTTTTGTCTACTCAATAGCTTATTATATGTGATCTTAGTGAAAGGCTCTACCCAAGCTGTAAGCCATTTATTTAGATGATTAGTTCTCTTTGGCTGATCATTTTGATATAAAACATAAAGTGAAAGGAAATGATTTAGAGTGTTTTGTTTTGCTAGGACCCAAGCACAGGTGAGAGTTTAAAGTCTGGTATTCCAGATGGAAATCAACTTTAGTAAATGCACAACCTCACATTTTAAAGGAATGAATGTGAGACCAATTCATGAAGCTGTCCCTCAATCCTGTTTCTCTGAAGGCCATGCTCAAATGAGAACTCTTTCACTAAGGTTTCTAAGAAACCTCCAAATTTACCCTTTCTAAATCGGTGTTTCTAAAGCACTAAATATCACTTGCATGGTATTTATTGTTTTTCCCTGTTCTGTCTCAAGAACATCTCAGATTCATGTACATTTCGTCACCTGTACCTGACTCTAAGCTCCTGAAATTAGGGAGCAGGTATTTTTCAGACTTCCATTTCTTATAGTGCCTAATGATATTGCCTGGTACACCAAAGGCATCAATAAATCTGAGACAAATGAGTAGATAATAATAGTAGATAAATGCTGCTGAAACCTAGCTATAATGTAGAAGTTTTTCTTTAAATTTACTTTATCCAAACCATAAGCTATCTTTTGGTTTGGATATCATCTCATCTCATAGACAAGGGGAAGAATTACACTATGGTCATGGATAGAAATAGGAGATAATTTACCTCCTCTTTACTCAGGTAGACAGAATATGGAGGCTGCTGAGAGAAGATTTTAATTGTGTGCAAAATACGTAACTACTCTACATTTTAGTTTACTCCTCTATAAATTGTAGAAAAGTTTCTGTCTATCATATAGGGTTACTGTTAAAAGTAGCCTAGTTACTGTATGTAAAAGTATCTAGTGCATGGCACATGGTGAATAATAAATGGTATTTAGTTGTTTTAATCCTTTCTATCTGGCTTACAAAAACAAAAGGACACGATTAAGTTTGTTTATTCAGAAGCATTTGGTTCTGAAAAATGAAACCAGGGCATAAAGTATATCAGTAATAGTAAGGTGTACTGTTTGACACGAGTTACAAGTACATGCTATGTATTAATGTGAGATAAGTTGAATTAAAAAGGTAGATAAGTAGAATAATTGAAAGAAGACTTGGCATCCTAAGCTTCTATTAAGGTTCTGTGACTTATCGGTTGTTTGAACTTGAATTTGGATAGCTATTCTAAACGGATCATTCTGGGTAGAATAACACAAACGCTTCTTTATCCAGATACATAGACAGATAGAAGAGTTCTCTTCAGTCGTCATCTAAGGGTAAATAACTTGCCCTTAATAGATGGCACATAAGGATTGTGGCACCTGGGCACTTAAATGCTGAATGTCCATTGAGCAGAGAGTCTACAATTCTAATTACACATGACAATGACCCAAAAACTGTTTGAATTGCATGTTGCTTCTATTTCTATCTAGTCAGAACTTACCCTTGACAGTTCAGAGTGTGACTGATGAATGATAAGGAAATAAGTTGCCTTTAAACTTTTCAGATAGACATGTGACAATGAAGCTCAAAGTTTGAGGAAGCAACCCAACAGGAAAAAAAAAAAAAAAGCATTGAAAATGGAAAATTACTTTGGGAAAATTGAATACAGATGTCAAACTATCCATGGAGATTACAAACTGTTGCTTCTGAATGTATTAGTTTGAACCACACAAATTGTCTCTACTTGCCTTTTTTGACTTACAGAAATGATAGTTCATATGTTTTTCAAGATAACAACAATTAGGCTTTGTTAAGATATTATCACTCTTTTGAAGAAAGGATAGCTTAGTTGATTTTCTATAGAGTTGGGGGAGAATAATAGAAGAATGAAATATCATTCTTCTATTAGGTTTATATTGGAGGAATCTAGATATATGAAATAAAAGGAAAACAAAAAGCACACATGGTAAGAAAAAGTTACCACTAAGCTTCTTTTGATAGGAGCAAAAAGTGGAAAGACACACGTGATTATCAGAGAGATATTGTGTTGGAAGTATTGATCAGAGTGGGGAGCTATGATTTAGAAGAAGGGGGAAGTCATCAAGGTTGTGATACCCATGGAAATAGAAATCTTAAAAAAGAGATTTGGAGAAAGCAGTGCACAATAACTAGATCTGGAGGAGAGTGAGCAAAGCCAGAAGATAAAGCAAGCAGAACTATGAAATAGTTTTTATTATTTATTCTGAGATTCAGGGAATCCAAGAAGATAGTGGGAATCTGACCAGGTGAGTTAACAATCTTGTTCAAAACTCTATAGTACATCACTCTCATTTGCTGTGGCAATTCTTTATATTTTAAGAACATAATTATAATAAAAATATGTAAATGAAGTCAACAGAAAGTTGAGGTGGAACAGTACATCCTGGGGTTAGTCTTATCTTGAGGGGTAGTTCTTGACCATGTTTGGGAAGAAATTGGTCTGTCAGTAAGGAAAACAGTTTCATGAAGAGGAAGAATCTTACCAGTGTATAAAAGACTAGTTTGAGTTTGTGCACTGAAAAGGGGCTCCTGGGTGGCAGTGTCTCATAAATTCTCCTACTGACTTTCATCAGTAGCTGTGTTAGGTAACAAATCACACTGTTGCATGTCCCCATGTTCTCTCTGGCTTAATCCATCAATGGGAATTGGAAATAAATACCGGAAGTCCCTCTGGACATGGTGAAGGCAGAGGCTTTGCCTCCCAGGATTCTATGGAGGGGAAATAAGCAGGGAGGACTTTGTAAAATCAGAATCTTTTTAACCTTATAAAGTAGATTTGTCAAAGGGCTTACAGTTTCACACTCTTAGCTGAATTTTTGGGGTGGAGAAATCTAGAAATACTGTGGATAGAGAACCTCATTATAATCCAAATAAAGAAGTAGGACTGTGAAAGAGGTAGTGTAAATCAAGAACCCTTAAGGCATATTAAAGTGAGTAAAAAGACTTAGTAACAGAATACAGTTGGAGTATACAACTTAGAGGAAACATGAAAAAATAATACCAAGGATTTTGGCCTGGGAACTGAGAGGAAAAAAAGTGTTAATTTAGACACAAGTGGGGTATTTGTAAAGGAAAACATGTTCAATGAGGAAAATAATTGTTTAAATGTTTTCGTTTTAAATTTGAAAAGACAGCGTTACATCCAAGGAGAGAAGAGTTGTGAATAAGTGACTGGAGATAATAATTTGAAAATTTTCTGTGCAAAAATCATCTAGAATGGGATCTCGGTTTCTTCTTCTTTCTCAACCCCAATCAACTAGTTGTGTCTACCTTGAGCCTCAGATTGTAAAAGATTTTTAGTCCACAGCTAAGCTCCGCAGGAAAGTCCCATGATCACTTTCCAATTTCAATTGTGCAATCTAGTGGCAAGAGTGACTTTAAGGACCACTTACCTGCCCTCACAAAAGAGACATATAGATGGTACTGAGCTAACTGGGCAAAGAAGTAGAGCAGGACATCCATCCACATCATGAGCGCAGAGTCTAAGTATTTTCCAGAGTTGGGTGTGGCAAGGTATTACGGGGTGAGGCCACATATAGAGATTTAGAAAGAAATCCAAGAAAGTGCAATATCATAGAAACCAGGAGAGGAGAGAAGGCCATAATGAAGGCTCTGGTCAACATGGACACATTCTTCCAGCAAAGCTGTAAGAACAATGAGAGTGAGATAATAACTAGACTGGGCAATGACATGGTTTGGCACCATGGTTTACATCTTGGGAAACATTGTATTGCTTCAGGGAGTGACAAAGTGAATCACAATGAGGAAGAATAGTCCATTTTTATGTATTACACCATTAAATAATTATTAACTCACCTCTCTACCTTCATTTACTTAGATAATTTATCATTGTATTTTCATTAAAATCAGATCATTAGTTTGGATAATACGGACCTCAGGGAAAAAATTACTCTTAGGTTTGTTAAAAATTGAATAAACGTGTTTTCTAAACTTGTTTTAAAATTATTGTTTAGAACTCATGTGGATGCAATTTTAAGAGATGCATCTCTTAAGACACAATTTTATGAGGTGCATCTTTTAAGACACAATGTTAAGAGGTGCAGCTCTTAAATTCACATTAAGTTAAGTAAGCCAAATCTTACTATAGAAGTTTCTCATCACATATTCACCATTACATAGATTCAGATATGTGTTCTTAAAGTCTTTAGTTAGTGTCTAAGTAGAACAGAGGAGTTCTACAACCATACTTTTTATTTATCAAAAAGAAAAAAAGAAAGGAAAAAGATGTCCAGATTCTCACCATCTGTCTGACTTACAAATGCACCTGACTAAAAATAAACCATTCAGGAATAAGCCATTCACACTTCCTCTGCAGTGACTTTGAAGTGTTTGTCAAGATACCCGTATTAAATTAAGAAACTTGGCGCTCTGGTCCTTTAATGGTGCTGACATTCTGACTCACATATGCCCGAGGGAAGGCAGAACACAGGACAGCTGAGAACACCAGAGAACTGGCAGTTGGGAGCCTGATGGAGGACAAGCAGGGCCTGGAGGACAGGTACGTGACAGAAGCACAGGAAACAAAGAAAAATGGTAAGTTGACCTGGAAAAAAATTTGAGGAGATTTGTAAGCAGAGTAAGTTAAAGTAGCAGAAAACCTTCATGTAGCCCTTAACAACAACAACAACAAGAAAAAAATAATAATAAAGGGGGTGAAAAAAGAATCATTTCTGAGATTTGTCGATAGGAGGAAAAACAAAGAACCAAAACTTTTCCCTTGAAATGTTTACTGTTATTAATCAAGGAACATTATTAACTATTAGGGTCCTGACTAAAGGTTACATAGCTGATTAGGACTTAGAAAGCCTTTGATTTTTAAAGAAGAGTTATAGACCAGTTAGATTTATAAAAGAAATTGGAAGAATTACCATAAAAATATCATTTTTTAAAATTTATCTTATAAAGGACAATCTGTAATCAGCATTACATGACATTTACAAAGTTTTTTCCTAGGATATGATTTAGCTCTTTCATTGTAAATTAAAAAAAAACTCTATAGTTTGAGTATTGTTTTAACATTATCTTTCATTTCAAAGATATTGTTTCCTGATAAAACTGGTAAAAGATTGGGATTTTGCTATTTAGTAACATTTGACAAACTGTGATTTACTCTTTTTTTTTTTTTTCTTGTCAGAAGAAATGAAAACAAGAGTTCATCACTACAAAGACACCCTGACAGCGTAAATATCATGAAAAGCTAAAAACTAGAATCATCTGGTAAAATAAATAAGACTCATCATGTCCTTTTCGGTCCGTAACCAGAAGGGCAGCAAAAGGCCTTTGCCACTGGGGCCTCATCTTTTGCTCCAAGTCCCACGTAGCAATTACCTGCACTTTCAAGAGGAGAAACAACGACTACACCTAAAGAAATTCCTTCTTCATAGGATGTTTCTAGTGGCCAAGATACAAACAAAGGTAGAAAGAAAAGATGTTGCTGACTACTATGAACAAGTGTTTCAGTCAGTTTTGAAACATCACCTGGGAGAAACAGTGACAGGATTGCTGCTCATCTATCCTACTTCCATTCTGCATATCCTCGAGTCCTCCAGCGACACTCTCTACCAAGTGCTTTTAGATTATACTGGCCATGACAAAGATGAAACAGAATTTTTTATTCAACAAATGAAAATTATAGTCATTTCTCATAACATTCCAATGAGGCTTTTTATGCAATGGCATGTTTCAGTGATAAAAGTGCCAGTTATGTATCTCGGTGATGTGACACAATCACAGTCCCTAAAAGAGGTCATCACAGATTTTCTCACACAAACTCATAAACTGTCAGTCTATCTTTGCAAGACTATGAAAGTAGGCACTAAAGGACCAGGTGATAACTTACACCAAGTTGCACCTGACCTGCTCCTCCCAGAACAAATCATAAAGTACTTGTGCAAATCTGAAGAATTCATGGACCCAGCAACATTTATAAACATGTATAATAGACCCATACACATCATTCTGGATTCTGAGGTGGTATGGCCTGCTCCTTCACGTTTCTAGGATTGAGAGGGATAATGTGCTCATGTCTCTTAAGGAATTTGTGCTACTTAAATAAAGAAGAAAACATTCTTAAAGTTACTTGTCCCTTTTAAAAGAAAAGAAACAGAACATTGCAATATACACGGAGGTAATAATCTTCACAGAGTGTGTTGAGCTAAACTTTAAAATGTATCTATTTGTTGTGATATTAGAGTTCAATACATTATTTTACTAGATAGATGGGTTTAATGTTTATCATAAGTTCTCAAATATTAACATCATTTTCATGAATTGACACTTTTCAAAAAAAATAAAATGGATGAAAAGAGACAAATGGAATTCAGATTGTCATCCAATCCCTCAACAGTTAATGAATAGTCATGACTACACACCAGAAGTACAGTGTTCTGAGGGTATAAAATAGAGAAGAAAAATCCCACCCTTGAGTTGCTTGCAACCTAAGATTAGAGGCAAGTACATGTAGAAGTAGTTATGATATGGTATGTAATGTAATGTAATATATCATTATAGTAACAGTATATAGGAAGGGCTTTGAGAGCACAAGTGAAGGAATAATCACTGTAAAATTCCTGCATTCAGAAAACAAAATCTAATTATAAAAAATATTTCCAAAGCCCATATATTCTGGCCTATACAATCAAGACCATTGAGACCATTATAAAGCTACAGAAAACAATAGCTATTTGGAATGAGAAGAAAATACATTTTCAAATGGCATTGTGCTACTCCATGTAACATCATTTATTGAACATCCCTCTATGTTACAAACATTTGCCAGGCGCTAAGGGATATGGCAGGGTACACAGAAAACATTATCTGCCCACTATTAAAACTTACTTCTAAATGATTTTATGTAAAATAAACAATCTGGTTATTTTCTCAATTCACTTTCTAGAAAGTAACTAATTATATATGATTTCTATATGACCAATTTCAAGTTGATCCCTTCTTTTATCCAGATGAATACTTTTTGCATTGTTTAAAAGTTTTTAGCTTGTTTAAACAATTAATTGACATCAATATTTTGAATACTGCAATGATATATGTCCCAAATTACCTTAATATCTTATGAAACAGACTTTGGAGTTAATGGAGAAAATACTTATATCATAGTTTTAATTTATTTATTTATTTAATTTTTAACTTATTTGGGGGCCAAACCAATCTCACTGTGCACTTCAAATTTTTTGTTTGCAGAAAATTTTGTTCTGCATATGAAAATACTGACCAAATTTTATGTAACAAACAAAATGTATATAATAAACAAAAATGAGATGCATCATTGTTACATAACAGAATCAAATTTTAGGAAAGACCATTCTATTTTCCAAATTTTGTAATACATCATTAATTAGAATGGTGTTTTTCACTTTTAACTGAACTTGAAGTTTCTTTCAAGTTAGTAATAGAAAAAAAATGTTTTAGACAAAATGAGAATTCTTCTAGCTAAGAAAGAGTATATAACTTTCAAAATTTATATCAATTTAGAAAAAAACACCTAATAATAATCAACAATAGGCTGTCTATTCTTTAAACTGCGAAAAAGACACAGGGGCCCATCAGTAGTAAATGATCAGTGACAAACTGACTGGAAACGTAAGTAAATATTTTCCCAGCCAAAAAAGGAATAGAGAAAACGTTTAACAAAGATATACTCCTTGGTTCAGTATTAGAATGAATGTGAAAGTGGTTTGGGAGAGAAGACTAGCATATATAAGAGAATAATGGATAATAAATGTTTATTGGATCAGACAGAATTTCTTTAGCAGGGTGAATTTTGTTTGGGAATAGTATTTTCTAAAGTTAGCCAGTCAATAGAAGTTTGGGTTTTGGACAAAAAATTGTATGTTTATAAATAAGAAATTATGGCATATTGTATTTTCCAGAAATGGTTACTGCAATATATCCAATCCCACACGCCTTTCTTACAACATGAGCTTAATATTCCTCCCATTGTGTAGTGGCTTCTAACTCTCTCCCTTTGAATGCAAGCAAACCTCCTCTGTGACTGCCTCAACCACTAAAATACAAAAGAAATGATTCCGTGTGATCTCGAAGGCTAGGTCATAAAAATGTTGTGCACTTTGCCTTGCTCACTTGAATGCTAGCTCCTGGAATTCAAACACTATGCTGTGAGAAATCCAGCAATTTCAGACAACATCCCGAGCTGAGGTCGCAGCTAACAGCCCCTATCATCCACTAGACATGTGACCCCAGATCCCAGGCCTCCGGTAAACCTGGGAAGCCAGCTCAGCTGACATTGTGTGGAGAAGAGATGAGCTGTTTCCACTGAGTCCTGCCCAAATTGAAGTTCCGTGAACATTAGTGATTATTGTTTATTTAACTACTAAGGTTTGGGTGAATGATTATGCAGCACTGTGGAAAAACAATACATATGTAATGGGGAAAATAATATATATGTATATAAGCTCTTTGTATCATTTATTATTCATTAATTTATATACCAAAATTTATTGGATAGCTACTGGTAAAAATGTACTAGTCGGCCAATCACTGTGCTAGTCACTGGATGTACAAGTAGCAATAAGATATATATTCACCACACTGCCTGGCATAGATTTTTTTATGGGTCTATAATACTTTTTGGCGTGAGAAATACCAATAGAAACCTAATTCACTAAGCCAAAAAGAGAATTATTAACAATCTTAATCATTTCTGGAAGAAGTTATAGAGTATCTGTCAACGATAATATTGCTGATTTACTTAGTATATCGTAATTTTAAAGAATTCATGAAGGCTCAACTATGACCATAACTGGAAAATAAACACATTGTGACTAGAAATAATTTAAGTTACTTATTTATTTGTTCATTTTTGTGAATACATCAGAATGAATTTATTCAAATAAATTTACCCCGTATAGGAGTCACTTCTGGAAGATTTATATTTGTCCAGGTAACACTACCATTGCTGAAAACATTTTGTGACTCAATGGCAGTTGAATAAAGGAGGTTTATAAATCAAAGGGAGATTGAATATTTTAATCATACCTAATTTTTGATCTCCAAATTATCATTACACTCCAACTTAATTAGTAACTTTAAGATTTGATCTCCATATAGAATTTTTTTTTAATCTATACTCACTCTCAAAGACAGGTCTGCTGTCACTAAACATATTAAAAAGAGAGTGACAATGCTTCTAAGGGGAAGCACAAATTGTTTTCAGTAACAAATGAGTTATTGAGATACTTATATAGGTTACTAATATAATGTCTTTAAATTGGACTCATTTAGCTGTGTATGTTTGGGTATATTTGATAAAATCCAGAAATCTTATCTTCATACCTTGCAAATTTAGCTTAATGAATTGTAAAAATGTGAACTTTTAAGCCTTAGTATGACTCATAAGTTAATTCTTAATGAAAATAATAATAGAATGAACATATATGCATGCTTATGTTCATCACATCCCTGTTTACAATAGCAAAGACATGGAATCAACTCAAATGCCCATCAATCATAGACTGGATAAAGGAAATGTTATATATATGTGCGTGTGTGTGTATATATATGTATATGTGTGTGTGTGTATATATATATGTGTGTGTGTGTATATATGTGTGTGTGTGTATATATATTTTAAATTGATAAAAATTGATAAAATTTCTGGATTTTATCAAATATATATATATATACACACACACACACACCATAGAATACTATGAATATATACTATACATAAAAAGGAACAAGATCATGTCCTTTGCAAGGACATGGATGAAACAGAGGGCCATTATCCTTAGCAAACTAATGCAGGAGCAGAAAACCAAATACTTCATGTTCTCACTTATAAGTGGGAGCTGAATATTGAGAACACATAGACGCAGGGAGACAAACACACACTGCAGCCTGTCAGGGGTACAAGGGGAAGGAGAGCATCAGGGTAAATAGCTAATGCACGTGGGGCTTGATACCTAAGGAATGGGAAGACAGGTGCAGCAAACCACCATGGCATACATTTACCTATGTAACAAATCTGCACATC